CCATCCACATCGACCATGTCTCTAAGAGCCACACCTCCACGTTCCTTAAACACCTCCAGGGACCCCAGCACTCCCTGGGCACCCAGTACCAACACACCACCACTCTTCAGGAGAATGTTTCCTATCACCCAACCTGACGCTCCCACAATGTGATGGGGGCCATCACCTCCCACACCGCGCAGCAGGCAGAGCCTGGCAGCGAGCTGATGGGATCATAGAGCAGAGGAAAGCTGGGGGTCCACGAGGAGTTGTGCAGCATGCTGTCACACGCTGGGTTGGAGGCAGCTGGCCTGCAGGACTCAATATGGATACAAATCATTTGCTGAGTGCCCAGCACCCGTGATCCCAAAGAGGGGAGAGGAGGGAAGCGCAGCCCTCACCCTTACGCAAGAAGCAGCGACGCCGCAGGCTCAGCAGGACAGCTCTGGGGAGAGATTGCATTCCAGTGGATGGTGAGGGGGAAATGTGGCATCCAATGGGCGGTTTGCAAAGCCTGCTCCACCCAGGGGAGATGCAGGGGGCACCGACACAGGGCTGTGTTTCACAATGCTGTGTGCCCCCCACCGCCCACATTCAGGGCGAGTTTGAAATCTAGATGTCGGCTTTGTATCTCCTGCTCATCTCCGGCTGAAGCATTCCTTCTTGTTTACTGGTCCTCTCCCAGTCACAGGATCCCAGTTGGGAGCAGGAGCCCTCGTTTCCTAGGGACATCTTGCATTCATTAGGACATGTTGTTATTGACTTACAAGGCTGCTAATTCTCAAGGTCCAATTTAGCCCTCAAAACCACTAACATGTGTGCTGGGGTGTTGCTACATCACAGTGCTTGGCCGAGTGCTGCTCGCAGAGCTGGCACAGATGAAGCCCCGACTTGCAGCCGTCTCCCCAGCAGGGCTGAGATTTGACTCCTCAGTGCTGGTGTACTGAGCTCCAGCCTCGTACATGATATGGCTCCACAGGTCTGCTTAGGATGTGGTTGCTGGAGGAGCTCAAATGTTGGGAGCGATACACAGGGCAGAGTGGCCAAGGTGCCAAGAGACCCATTGGGGTGAGCTTGATACTTGGTACCCCATAGAACCACTTGTAAGAGACCCATTAGGGTAAGTGTGTTGCCTGGAGTCCCAAAAGACAGCTGGAGCCCCGTAGAACCACTTGGAAGAGCCGCATTGGGGTGAACATGATGCCTGTTGCCCCATAGGATGCCTGGAGCCCCATAGAACCACCCAGCAGCCGCAGTTGAGCATCTTCTCCAGGCGAATTCATGTGGCTGAGACGGTGCCTCCGCCGCAGATGAACTGCAGCAGTGACCACAGATGGGCTCCACGTCTGCACCCAGCATTCAGCAAAACAGGTTTCCTTAACTCCCCATCTCGAGGGATTTCTCCCCACCTTTGGTACCCAGCGGGGAGGGGCAGGCTCCTCACTTGCCTCCCAGCGGCCCCACTGACTATATATAGCGAACCCAAGCTCCCAACCGGAGCCCCCGGGGGCTCTGACTCACGCACAGAGGTGGATGAAAGTCGGTGGCTGCGGCAATTACAGCCCCCAGCTGCAGCCCCACCCGGCGAGGTGCAGCCCCCGCAGCGGCGGTGCCCGAACCGCACCTGGAGCAGCGCCTGCACCACCGTGTTTACGGATGGGGAATGAAAGTGGTGCTGGAGTGACTGCTGGCTGCGATGGCGGAGAGACGGCGCAAGGGGTGCGTGGGGTCACGGCGTCGGGAGGGCTGGGGAACTTCTCTCAGATCACCAACCTCAACCCCAACCCATCCCCAGTGACAGTGTTCCCACGTGCCACACGTCCACGTTCCTCCAGCACCTCCAGGGATGGTGATCCCACCGCTCCCTGTGCCAACGTATCGTCACGCTCTGGGAGCAGAAATTGTTCCTAATATCCAACCCAACCCTTCCCTGCTGCAACTATCAGCTCTCATCCGGTGTAAAGGATCACCCAATTGTCACAGCATCATCTGAGTTGGAGGGGGCACTTGAAGGCCATCGGGTCCTGCTCCCTGCCACGCACCAGGACACCCACAGCTCTGCCAGTGCTCAGACCCTGCAATGCAAGCAGGGGGTGCAGGAAGGAAAGAGGGACCTGCCAGCTTGACGGCAGCCCTACTGCTGAAGGAGTGCAGCTCTGCGTGGTTTTGCTCCACCACCACCATCACAGGGCCCTTCTGCAGAGCTCTCCTGCTTCTCAAAGCAGCTCACCCCATGGGCGTGCACAAGCACAGCGCACTCTTCCCTTGGCCTTTCATCTGCCCTAATAACATACCTGCTGTGGCACCTATAGAAACTTGCTTGTAGCAAAGAGAAAGGGCTTGTCCAGGGCCACAGAAACGATGCGAGGGATGGAACAGCTGCCCGCAAGGACAGGCCCTGAGGGTCCCCTACAACTCCAATGATCCCATGATAAAACAAGCATCCACCCTCTCTGCGTATCAGTGGCTGCGGCAGAAGAGCCCACCCCACAGCGTGTCAGGGTTTCCCTTCTGCCCCTCTGACAAAGGGCGGACTCAGCCCCAGAGGGCACTGCAGCCACCCCAGAGAAATCTGTCCTGGAGTCACTTTCTGCCCTGGGGGACTTTTGCTGCATTCGGCTCCTTAAAGCCTCAGGGTGGTCAGGGTGCTGTGGTCAGAGTGCTGGGGGGGCACACAGTGCTCTGACCGATACAGGACCCCCCCCCAGCCAGCCAAGGATGGGACAGACACAAGAGGGGCAGCTGCCTGCAGGAGGGCAGCTCAGAGCTGGTGCTGCCAGGGAGACGTCAGCACACGGAGCGTTATGCACAGTCTTGCCTTCATGCCTGGAGGAAGAGAGCAAAGCCACTGAAACCAGCGGGACCGAGTGTGAGGTTTGTAGGCTGGAGCTGTCTGTAGGAAGGCTTTGGCCAGGCTTTGGGGAGGTGATCTGCCTGACATCACTGTGCTCGCTCTTATCCAGCACATGGTGCAGCCAAAGCCCGGGGCAGCAGAGCACAGAGCTGTGAACAGAGCCCTCTCCATTCAGTGCTGATGGGAAGGCAGTGCCTCTGGTGTGGAAACCCAAAGATGTCCACCATCCACCACCGGTGGTCTCTCACCCAACGAACAGACATGCTCCCCATTGAGCATTGCTCCTCGCTGCAGGAGGCACTGGGTGCTGAGAACAGAACAGAACGGGGCCCAGCAGGCGGTGGGACACATTGCCACGTTTTGCAGTGCCACACCATTACACTGCAGTGATCTCCGTGCAGAGATGCGCTCAGGCTGGGCAGAAATCAGCATCACAGCGAGGGCGTAAATAAGGCGATGCTGAACATCAGTTCCACTTTCCCACCATCAAGGCTCCCATTCGCTCACAGGAGCATTCCCAGGAATCACTCCCAGTTTCTCTCTGGGAACTCAGGCTGTGTGTTTCTCCACTCCTGATAAAGCCTTCCAGCCCCGACCTCAGCGCTGGCATCGCCTTTCCTCACCTACCCCACCAGACAACATGCCCAGGGACAGCACACCAGGGCTCTGTCCTGGCCCTTTTGCTGAGTGCAAGAGACGCTTCGCCCTCTGCATGCACCAAAAGGGGCGCGTTGCTGAGCTCAGCTCCACCAGGAGGTCCTCAGGAGCGGTGCTTCACCCCCGGTCGGGTCGCAGCTCCCGGCTGCCCTGCAGTCAGGGCTGTGTCAGTGCAGCGCCCGCAGCCGTAACCCGGGGGGACCCCCAACGAAGCAGCAGAGCTCAGCTATTCCTGGGAACCAGTCGCAACTTGCCTCGGTTTCAAGGCCTCCTCTTATCTTTTGCAGCAACTCATTGTGAAATCTCACCACTGGAGATGTTAACAGCCAAGATTTATGGCTTCTGTAGTTTCCCTTTAATGGCTTCAGCTGGGGAAGCGCTGGCGAAGGATGAAAGATGCTGGCACGGGATGGATGTCAGGAGAAGACTTCAAAGGCTCCCAACACACCGAGTCGCGCTGTGATACTCAGGATCCTTCTTAAACCCATCCAATACTCAGCAGCCTCTCCCTCCTGAGCTCAGCCACAGACCCACAGCCCAGCAGCCGCAGCTCAGAGCTGAGCTCAGTGCAGGACTGACCCAGGAGCACAGTTCTTATTGCCTACAGAGCATCGCAGGCTGGTACCCTTCTCCTCTCCCCAGACATCCCCAAATCCTCCATGCTCTGCCCCCACACTCTATGAAGCACCGACCAGTTCTGACAACGTGGTGATCCTTGCCCGGCAGTAAGAAGGATCCAAGGGCAGTGGAGCTGGTCTGGCACATGCTGTGGGGCATGTGGGGAATGCAGGGCAGGGGCCAGCAGCCACCCCATCCCACAGTGCAGCACTGCTCTCCTTGTGGATGTGGCACACAAGAATTCATTAGAGCAGCCTTGTCCCGTGGCAAATTTTCCTGCGTGGTTGATGCCGGTTCTAAGTCCAGAAAACACTCTGAAATGTGTTAAAACTCATTGCAGTGGGCTTAGAAGTGGGCTAGAACCCACGGCAATTGCTTTAGACGTGGGGCAGAACCCATCGCAGTAGGCTGAGAGATGGGGTAGAACCCGTTGCAATGGGCTAAAAATGGGGTAGAGGCCAGAGGAACGGCGATGCCTGCGGTACGTGCGTGTGAGCTGTGACACAGGCGATTCTTCAGCGAGTGGGAGCAGCAAGACAAAGAGCCACAGCCTCCCTGAAAACACCAACTGCAGGAACTCCCAGTCCCCGTAAGAAATATTGCCCGGGGAAATTAAAATTAAGAAGAGCTGAAGCAGCACACGTCTGCCTACACCTTAAGCCCACGCACACGAGCAGGAGCTGCAGTAACGCTCAGCGTTCTCCCACCCCGTGTCCCTGTGACCCACACGTTCATTTGTGATGCCACCCTGCATGCACACAGCCCTCCATGCTGTCCCCAAGCTCCAGATTCATGAGTCCAGCACTGCTCCATCATGCAGGGCTGCTTCAAATGCACCCAAAGTGTGAGCCCATGTTTGTGCTTCAGCCCAGCTCTCATGGAAAATCCCATCAGTGAGCCGTGGTGTTGGTAGGAAAGCAGAGAGCAGAAGTGGCTGTGAGAAGGGCATGGACAGAAAAGGCCATTTCAAGCAGCACAGCCTCCCAACTCTTCCCCATATTACTTCAATCAGACTCCTTAAAATAAGAATTCCATCTGCAGACCGACAGTCATCTCCCAGGTCCTGCCAAGCCCTTTGCCGTAGGCAAAGCGGTTGAGACGTCCCTTAGCATCAATTCTGTTTGTTTATTTATAAAGTTCATGTTTGATCTTTGTTTAGCAACCGTTTTCATCTCTCTGTCCAGTGGTAAGAACACAGCAGCTCTTCTCCTGACTCAAAAGAATCATGAGTTCTCTTTGCTGGCTCTGGAAACCCTCCAGCATCAGCTCTGAATGCAGCAAGACCGAGTGCATCCGGAGCAGCGTAGCACTGCTTACCTGCAGACCTTCCTTTTCCTCTCCCAGTTAAGACAGGCAGCTCTTTACTCTTCACATCTTTTCCTGCTGAGCACAGCAGATCACCCTAACCCAAGCACTTGGACGCAAGTGCTCCAGGGGAATCCTGCTGTTGCAGAGAACGCACTGAAGTGAAGCCCTATGGCAGCAGCTCCCAGATGCCTGGGATTGCAAAGTCAAATCACTGTGAACCGTTCACCCTTTTCCAGTACCATTTCCTGCTTTAGGTTGGATGAAAACTACCATCACCATCCCAGACCCAATGCCATCCTGGACCCATCACCATCCCAGAACCATCACCATAGACCCATTGCCAAGGACCCGCTGCCTTCCCAGACCCAATGCTGCCATGGACCCATCACCATCCCAAGCCTGTGACTCAGAGCACTTTGGGAACCACTACAGTCAAACACAGCCCCAATCTGTGAGTCACTGCATCCGCCCTTTCTCCTGGAGACTTGGAGACTGCAAAGACATTCAGACACTCAGCTCATGCTCAGCCTTCCTTGTAACGAGTGTCCAAAAGCCCTCGGGCAACCACCTCCAACCAGTTCCCTTTCCATCCCACTCAACACAAAGGTTTGCCCGTTTTCCTTTCTCCTTCCATAGGAATCTCAGCTGCCCTCAGACAAGCTGCTTTATTCCTACACCAAGGAGGACCCTGCAGGGTTTCCTTGGCCTTTTTCAGCTGCATTTTGTTGGTTTGAAGAAATAATGAGAAAATTGTTTCTGGATTTTTCCATGCTGCAATTAATATTACTGAAGTGTTATGAAAACGGATCGGTTCCACCTCTTTGCCATAAAAGGTCACGCGAAACATGTCACATGAAAGGTCTTAAAACAGTTTCCAGTGAAAAGCATGAAGGCCATCAGTTAATTGGAAGCAGCACGTTATAATTAGACGGAATATTTAGCACTAACATCTTCATAGCTCAATCCCATCCCCTCTCAGTGTGTGTGTGTAACATGAGGACCTTGTTCTCCCACCTCGTGCTCCATGTGGTTCTGTGTGCACGTGAGCAAACCCAAGGCCTGCAGATCCCACTGCAAAACCCTGCTCTGATCACAACCCCTGCTGTCAGCACATCCATACGGTGCCATAGGGACGGAATCCCACCAAGGGCTTAATGGCTCCACTTCCTTCATGCGCCTTCCTTACCTGCACATGCTCTCACTCAATATGGCATCGCAGACCATGGGCTCTGGGACGTCACCTGGATTCCACAGGTTTCCTTTCAAAAGGGAAAAAAATCAGACTTGAATGAACCTCAGACGCTCACAAGACAAGCGATGATGGGACGATGCTCCCAAGTTCCACCCCTGGCTGCTGGTCTCTGCTCCATGCACCCACCTACACCCAGACAGGGGCACCCAGTGTTGACCACAACCAGCTCAGACATACCTACAAAGCACAAGGCAGTAAGGGCTGAAACGTGGGCTAAGAGCACTGAAAGTCACAGTCTGTGATGTCTGCAGACACAAATTCAGCTCTTGAGCTGGTGACTCGGGTGCAAGAAAGTTGGAAATAATACTGAAAATCCATTACAATTGTCACGGTCATCAATTCTTCCAGTTTAACTTCGAAAATGTGGTATCCTGGAGAGCAACGAGACACTCACATTTAAATTCTTAAGAGTTTCCCCATAAGAATGTGGGAATCGGAGGGGGGACACAAACCTCCTCCAAGTTTCTGTAGAATACTCAACTTGTTCTACTGCTCTGCTAAGAGCCACTGCAGCCAGCAGGAACGTGAGCAGCAGAGTGCATTCCTCCTGAAGTCACAGCAGCACTGAAAAAACAAAGATTGAGAGCTGAATCCACTCAGACCTTGCCCAGGAGTTCAGGGCACCGCGTTCACGTCCCAGCTTACGCACACCACAAGTCCTCAATAACAACAGAAAGATCTGCTTGGTAGTGAAAATATAATTTTATTTTTAACAATAGCTGCCAGCAGTACACTGGGATATCTGTAAAAGATGTTCCAGAGAGTGAAGGACAGAAGCAAACTACAACAGATCGGATCAACTCTTCAAGTATTCCCCATGCCCTGTGCTGGGAGCCTCCGTAACCCATCCTGCTCCGCTCCCCCCCTCCCTCTATGAACACATAAGTTAGTGGCACGGGTTCTGAGGCAGATTAAACATTTTGCACTGGGGATAAAGCTTTCTTCTGGAAAAAAAAGAGAAAAAAATGTTAATGGGCTGCATTCAGATCGTACTCTGAGTGGCAAAGGGTGGAAAAAAACTGTTGACTGCACTTTGCCACTTTTTGTTCTCCACTGAGATAGGCATCAGCGGGTTTGGCGCAGGCATCTCCCATTTATTCATGTCTGTGCTCCTTTGATATGAAATGCTAATTTGCTACTTTAGCATAAAAACTCGATTACATCTCTCCTCTTATCATGGAACGACATGCAGCTCTCCATGGGTTCAGGCATGCCTGCCACAGGAAAAAAAACCACCAATTTGATGGGAAAATGCAAACGTAGGAGAGCTGTGGCTGCGCCTGTCCACGAGGGCCATTGACACAGACCTGCAGGCAGGCAGGAGAGCTGCAGGGAGCACAGAACCTTCCAGAAGCTCCCATGGCTCTCGGTCAACCCGCAGCTGGGGATGCATGGGGAATCTCTGGGAGAAGGAAATTTATGTTAAAAGGAAAAAGAAAGAAAATCATGCGTGTACTCCCCTATGTTCTCCCACACAAAACCAGATGGGTTTTCTGTTCGGGGAACACAAGTCACCTGTTTTAATGGAAAATTCAGAGTGTTTCAGCTTGGGATTAGAGCAAGTTGCTCAGCATGCTAATACATGCAGCCAGCTTGCAAACTGGAATGCCTACTTGAAAGGGTAACTGCTTCAGAAGGGGCTAGGAGCATCATTTTAAATTTAAACAGGCCTAGATTAATTGCTGTTTGATGAAATTAAAAATGCATTCAAAGATCAGATTGTAAACAAGTTGACAGAAGTCAAGAATTTACATAGTTATGAAAGGGTGTTTTTTTTTTTTTTTTTTTTTTTTTAATTAATGTCGGGCTGCTGATTGGGGCCAGATGAAAGCGCTCTGCCCACACCAGACGCGAAGGCTTCGCACCACCCAGCGATGCACAGAGCTCACCTGGGGGAGAGCAGCGCTGTGCCCCACTGAGCTCTGCTGAAGCCACAAGGGATTTATGGCCAGCTTCTGCCCCAGCACCACTCAGCTGTGCCTAAGGAGCCAACAGGACACTGGGCCCTGCTGTCACACATTTTGGAATGACCAACCTGGCACTTGCTTGAACTGCGTCCCCAAAAGAAAGGCTCCAATGCTCAACGCTGCGCTGTGAGGACATAAAGCATACATTCCTTACAGCAAGAGCCTCAGCTTTGTTTACAAGCGTTCAGACAGCATCATTAAAACACTTCATGCTGAATCTAGCGTATTACAATGGTCTGAAGATTGCCTGGAAAGCAGGGAGAATATATTATCAGAATATATTATCATTACAAGGCAGCACGCTGCTGCTTGAGCAGGTTTGGCAGTTGTGTGCGTTGAGGTGCAGGCAGCACGCACAACAGCAGCTGCACAGAGCTGCTCCATGCTGACATGCATGCAGGTGTGCTGAGTGCAATGGCCAGCTGCTCTCAGCCTCAGACAGCACCAAGGGCCGACTGGGGCTTTAAAGGGGAGCTCAGAATGTAACAAACTGATGGCATCCCTTCCTATTCTACGTTTTGAAGGGTTAACCGTACGAGCAAGGAGCGCCACAACAACCTTTTCCAACTCTACATCAACACAAATGCTGTTATGTGACAAAAGAAGTCATCCCTTTTTCTACATCTCACACTGCAGCACAGACTGAACCCCTACAAAGGATCATTATGGCTGAGAAACTGCATTCGGGATGAGAACGTGACATCAGAACCCAATAACTAAGAAAGGGCAACAGTTAATTCTTCCTAACCAGGTCGCTCTGCAGGATTTTCTTTCTGTGCCTGAACACTCCTGTAATAAGTCACAGTAAGGTCTAAGTGTATCTATGGTTTTCTAGAAGGATGTGTAACAGGCCTTCTAATTGCCTTTACACTGCAGTTCTAGCTCTAGGAAGGCAGGACAAGGCACCACAAGCCACGTGTACAAATGCACATCTCTCACTCTACCTCTTCTACATCAAGCTAATGTCACGGGTAGATAAAGTAGCAAAAGCAGGATGCTTAGAAAAGTTGGGCTTACCAAAAATAATAGCATATAAAAGTGTGAGGGCTTTTGTGTTATTGCAGAATGGCAAATATTCCAAGGACAACCGACCAGGAATAGCACTTTCCAGCTTCTGAAATCAGTTAAATACAAAAGTAGCTTTACAAAAAAAATAGGCATATAGGTCTAGTGTTCTTTGGAGTCGTTTATGGTGGTCTCTTAAAAATAACCGAGCCGTTTATTCCATGCACCAAAATCATTCATCTGAAACAAGAAAACTATTTCCCCACTTTAGAAATACTCGAAAATTGGTTCTTAAAAAAATTGCAGTGCTATTCCTCAGTGTTGCAGTAAAAAGATTCGGTATAGTAGTGCAACGATTATGATCATGCAAAGCTGCAATCCAGATGCACAGAAAGCAGTTCAGGTAAGTTTAGTGTACAGGACTGGATTCCACGCACCCTTTTTTACAGGAGTAACTAACAGATACCCTTTCAGATTAAAAAAACAGAAAAGGGAACGCTATAATTTAAGGCAAGTGTTATCTTTAAAGGTCACTTCAGCTTTCTTTAGGACAAACAGAACATCAAACAGCTTACAAAAGTTCCCAGAAAGACTCCGACTCGAAGGGCTCTCAGCGTTCAGTTTTGCATCGCCCATCATTGCACTGCTACCCACACGTACAGCAGCTGCTCGTCACTGATGTTGACACATTTTGCCTCTGACAGCAAAGATCTGTAAGTAAATATCACCAGAAAGACCTATACAAAATAAAGGCTCTGAACTACCGAAAAGAAAGCCACTTGAAATGCTTAAGGTGAACAGATGGCAAGCATCCAATTCTTTTGGTTTCGTGATGTTAAAAGGGCATCCTGACAGCTATTCACGTGCTGCAACTCAGAATTTGGGATAAGTGTGAGCTGTCAACTGCTTTGTTGTTGTTTGATCTCACCACGTTCTTGAAGACACAACTAAATGTGAACTCTGCACCGTGAGCTCCTGGCTGCAGTGCACGAGCCTGGACTCAAACTCCCTGATGTTTGAGGTCATTCAAATCCAAGCTTCACGTGTGAGTCCATTCTCAATAATTCCATGACTGTGATTTCAAATCCAAGAGAATCATAATATGCATATATATATATATATATATATAAAAATCTATTTTAAAAGCATTGCCAAATAGTTCTCAAATGGCTTTTCTGGAGAGTAAGTTCCCTTCTATATGAAAACAGGATAGATGAACAGGTACAGCTCGATGTGTTGCACATGTGACAACTGTGTTATAGACCTTCTGGAAGAGCAATAAATTCCAAAATACATAAATATTCCTTGTACCATACAGAAAGACAGTATCCCAGACCAATTTGTAGATGGGGACCAAATGTTTGCAAATAAAAGGAATGGGGGCAAGAGAACTCTTCATACCGAAGAACCCAATACCCCACAACAATAGTAACATAACTGCATTAATAATACGACTTGCCATGAAAAGAGGTAAGGGAAAACAAGCCTATAATTAAATCTGCAAACTTTAGGTAATTACTGTACCTGGTCTATCCACCATAACTTTGAATAACTGCAAGTTCATGCAAGTTATGGTGGATAAAAAAAAAAAAGAAAAAAAATTGCTATCTTATATGAAAAGAGCAGTCTGTTAGAAGCTTTGTTACGGAATACGCAAGAAGTCGTCTCTTTTTGCAAGTGCTGTTTACTTAGTGAGTCTCTTGGCTACATCACTGTAAGCTATTTCAATTTCTTTGTCTCCAGGACAGGTGTTGGTGAACTCATCCCTGCTGTAAGCGTTGGTCAGGTATCTCCAAATCCCCCTCATTTCCTTGGGAATCTCAAAGTTGCGATATTTTTTGGCCACCACCTGGAACAGAAGGGTTCAGTTACCAACTGCCACGCTCCGAGCACTTCTCCATCTCTCCTCATTCTCTCGCTCTGTTGCTCTTCCAACACATTCATGTTCTGCAGAACCCGTCCCTCTGGGATATGCCCAGACCCGACAGCACGCTGCCTCACACAGCCTTTAATTCTGTCCTCACCAAAGTAAACACTCCTGCACCCAGGCAGAAGCTTAATCTGTGGCTCCATCTGCAGTACAAAACGTACAAAGGTCACTGGAAGCAGTGAGAAGAGACCAAGCCGCGATTACACAGGTCCACCTCCTCTCCTGCACTTACTCTGCTACTTCCCTTCCAGCTTTCCAGACTTTTCCCCCCCCAGTTGTTACTCCCTGATCGAGTGCAACCCCCAGTTGAGCTCCCTGCATTGTTACTATCACTCTTTTCTGCTAATATTGCACTTAAAGGTGGGATCCTACACGTGATTGGAAGGAGTTGGACTCCAGCTTGCCCCAGACCACAATGTTTCCCCCTCACTCAACACCCCGCAGGCCATTTACCTTCACAATGTGCAGTTTGGGCAGCAGGTTGCAGTCTGCTAGTGTCATCTCATTGCCATCCAAAAACTTGCGGGTAGAAACTGCAATATCCTCCATGCTGTTCTCATCTATCTCGTCAGGGAGAGGAGAGTTCAGGTACTCATCCAATTTCTGGAGGGTTTTCAAGAGGCCACGTTCTAAACCTACAGAGGAAGGAGTTAAGGAAAAAGAAACAAACTACAGCAAGCAAATTTCAAAGCAAATTAATCTTTTGAATAGTGACACCTGATCTAAAATCCAAAATCCACATCACTGTGCTCCCCAGAACAGATGGCACAGTGAAGGACTGCTGGTCCTTGCACAAATTCTGTAGCAACACCACTGCTGCTGCTGACTTGGAATTCACTTGTGGTGACTTGGAACACTGAAACAGAACTGGAATCCCTTTAAACACCACACAGATGCATGTTATCTAAAAGTTGGTTTACACATGAGCTTGCAGCACTTCAAAATTGCTCTAAGAATGTTTATTTTTGGTTTAAAAAGTGGCTTATGTCAGTTTCTTAAGACGTTTCCTAACTGGCTTAAAGTAATTAGCATTAAGCTAAGCTATTCATTTAAACATAATCTCTTTAATGTCACATGCTCAGCTCCAAGGCAGAACTGAGCAGGAAGACGTGGAGGTTCTGCACACACAGCAGCAGAGGGCAGCAGAACCCACAGAAACAAAAAGCATTTCTCAGCAAGAGAAACACACAGCTATTTGCCACCCTGACATCCGCACACACCACAACACATCCCTTTATTGCCCCCAGGGCAGAACATGCTGGAATGCTGGAATGCTTCTGTGTCAAACTCAACTGTTTCCTCCTCGTCTTCTGCAGCAGCCGTTTTTCAACTCAACGCAATGCAAAGAGTGCATGGGTTGTAAATAACACTGGGGAAACAATGCAATGTGTGCACAGTGCTGACTGCAGGGACTTACCTTCGTTAGCCTCGGGTCTGGAATTTTTGATAAATGCAGAAAATTTGGCAAAAATATCCATTCCAGCAGTGTAGGACTCAGGGTGCTTTGGAGAAAGTTTCAGGTATCTAGAAAGCAAAAATCAGAATGATGGTCACCATGTGTCAGCTTGTAGGAAATGGCATTTTGTAAGAAACAGCCCATGCTGCCATCAAGGGAAAGTTTTAAACCCAACATCTCAGAGGCAAACAAAAGCACATTTGCCTCGAGCAGCGTTTGAAACAACCCAAGGCAACAAGAAAAGGCTCCTTCAGCAGAGCTGTGACACAACGGAGCAAAGAGGCAAAGAATGGAACTCCTGCCTGCTTTCTGTTTGCAGGAAATTCTTCTCAAGTTCACATTCTATAGCCCCAAAAAATCACGGACTCCAGATCCTTTAATAGAGGAGAAAGGCCTTCACACTAAAGGCAGTGCCTGCACTTTGCCACTGGCTGTAGTTTAGAACCCACACGTTTCACACTCTTGTGATGTATAATCTAATGAGCTCAAAAAGTGCTCAGTGTCTTCAATTTCCAAACACTGAGCACTCTTATCTCTGGGACTCGCTGTCATGTCCAATATAAATTAGGAATAAGTTAGGAAATTACTTTCCATTTGCATTTTGTAATCATCAGTTCTGTGTGATCATCCACAGTCCATCTGCTGACGAGTAAAAGAACTCCAAACTATTCCCAAAGCCTAATCTTCAATTTATGGATGCTAAAGAAGTTCCTAATTAGTGCAGGGAATCCCCCTAAGGACATTCCATCTAATTTAAGGTGACACATTCTCATTTGAACACTTACTTTGGCGGAGCCAAAACTTCTTCCAGGAACTCTTCAATCTTGTTCACGTCTGTTTTCACTTCACCATTGTAAGTTATAAAGGGTGGATGAGTGCCTGGAGCCAAATTTTGAAGGTCTGCTGGTTTTCTGGGATGAAATACAAAGGAATATAGAAATAAGAATGGATTAGAAAAAAGACTGGATGTTGTGTTGAGGGACGTGGTTTAGTGGGAGCTGTTGGGAATAGGTGAACGGTTGGACTGGATGAGCTTTTAGGTCTTTTCAAACCTTGGTGATTCTACCCCACCTTTCCATGCTGCAATCCAACAGCATTCCTGAAGGTTCCCAACTTCTTGGCAGTTCAGAAAACACATCACTATTTTTCTTTGCAAAAGCAACCCTACATCTTGATTGATGTTTGATGCTTTCTTACCAACAACTCATTTCAAGTGCTTAAGAAAAGCCACTTCCTTCCTACCTTTTGGATGTTTTTTTTTTCTCTCTTCAAGCCAATGGTACAACGTTGGACATGCTGGGACAGGGAGATACACAGCACTACACCCCCAACATGCTTTCTCTTTTCCAAGATCTGGACTGCAGAGTTTATATATAGCGTAATCTGCAGGCAGAGATAATCCCCCCCACTCTGCACAGAGCTCCTCTGCAAACAACCAAACCTGAAAGAGCCCTGTGTAAGAACGAGCTGCGTGCACAGTTTCTGGACAAGGTGATTTTTAAATATCATGTTTAAAAACGACACACCTGAAGCTTCCTCCAGCAAAAATATGAATGATTTACACATCATACCAGCACAGAGAGATGTATGCTGGATGATACCATGACTTGACCCAAGGGAAACAGAGAACCAAGCTTCAAACGCTTGCTGGTTTTGCTGATGTCTCTTGCTGCTGGAAGGTTTGCTCCAGCTCCTGTTGTACCAACCCCAGCCAAACAAAGGCTCTCTGCTCCATAAGGAATTGGCTTCTCCCTCCTGCAGTGGGGCTGGAGAGGGAAGCAGGCTGGTAACAAATGAGGTCAGCCTGAGAAAGCAGAGCTTTTGGGAACAGCACTCAAACGCTGTTAAGCAACACAGCAACAGGTCTGTTCTGGAAATGCAGCTTTTCTTACAAGATTAAGGTCTCCTGCCACAATTTTCCCCTCCTGCCCACTGCAAGGAGGCAGCAATGGAACACGGTGTCACGGAGCACTTAGGGCAGGGCTGAGCACTTGGCTGTATGTGTAAAAACTGAATAAGAAGAAGGATTTTCATTCTTAAGACCATTAAATCCCCTGCTTTCAGCCAGGTGGCAGAAGTCAGATGTTAATACAAGGAATTAACCATTTTCAGTCAATTTTTAAGCTTCCACAAAGCATGAATTGTCACTGCCCTCTTACTTTTAGGATTTGAGGTTTGCCATCGGTGAAAGCATTAACTTTAGCTGAACACTTCATTTAAATATATTAAATATCTCTGTAACCCACAACAATCAGAGGAAGTCATTGTGGCTCACTTCCAGTTCTGCATTTTGCCTAGATAACATTCCTCACAGGGGATGTCATGTTAAAAACCAACACAGGAGGACCACCAGATTTACAGCAACACTACGACAAAACAATACCTAACTTCAGAAAACAATAAACTAACCCAAACCTCATTTTCCAAAGAATCAGAGTGCACATCCCAAGGGCTGGTATGACATGAGCCCCATGCAGCACCCCACTTGGACTGTGTGCAGCTTTCAAACAAAGCAGAGGTTAACAAAGCACAGCCCACAGCGCTGGGTTTGACTCCCCAGCAGACATGCAACAAACCCTGGCTTACTGCAGTGTGAAGGATCACCCTTGAAACCTAAGGGAAAGCACAATCTCCCTTAGCAGCCAAACACGAATGAAGAATATTATAATAGTGATGTTCACTTCAGAGATGAAATTGGGCTGTTAAAAAGTGCTCTCTACCCACTCAAAGCAATGCCATGGTAGATAGCACCCACCCCAAAGCTTGCAGTGATGTTTGAGGTAGGAGCACAGGCTTAGACACCCAGCTATCACTAGCTAACTACATGGGCAAACTCCTTAGCATCACTGTTTGGTTACAGAATAGCCACAAGCAGGCTGTGCCTTTGCCACAAACCAGAACAGCACTCATTGTTTCAATAATTCCTTGAAGATCAGGCAAAAGCCAGCCCCACATATGACACAATCAGAGAATTGTCTGAGTTGGAAAGGTCCCTTAAGGGTCAGCAGGTCCAACTCCCACGTGATGCACACTGATGTCCAACTCTACTGTGATTTATAACTGCGGCAGTACTGAAATGAGAGCCCAAAGAGCAACGTGAAGAGAGCATCAGCAGGAAACAAACCCAAACCCAATGCTGCCACCAGTTCCTAAGCAGCATTTCACGCTGCTGAAGGTGCATTCAGCCCTGGGCAGTCTTTTATATTGACTTATCTCTTTATTTAATCTTCATCTGCCAACTAAAAATGACACAATCAAGATGTTTAAAATAGGATTTCGAAACCCAACTGAATGCAGCCCGGCCCTGAGTGCTGCTACAAGCCCAACAATGCTCTCAGGCTGATTTATGTACTGTAACTCTGATGAAATGCTGCTTCTGTGAGGGGAAAGAATAAAGGCTCTGTCTGAGCACACGGAGGGAAGAAATGCGTTGTTTCTTCGACAGAGCTGCACTTCCCACTTTGTTTGCCCATGTGCCCATGTTGTGTCCTCACAGGAGGACTGAGGGCTGCAAAATGTTCTCTGTGAGTGCAGTGTGATGCTCAGTGCAAGTATGGAGGGGAAAAGTACATGTCACAAAGTCAATGAACCCAGACTCATTTTTTCCAGCATCCCAAGTTGTTGACTTGTGAGCTGTTACATCCAGCCCTGACCTTTGGAGCTGCACAGAGCTGCTTTTACCCTTGAGCAGAAATCACACTGAGGCTGAAGCATGCTCTGCAAGGGAACACTGCCTTCTGGCTAGCCAAATAAATTCAGATGCAAAAAGCACACTGCTATCCACTTCTCAAGTTTGCTTTCCTATAACAGGATAAAAAAAACCCAACACAGTAATTAGCTTGAACAATGGATTTGTGAAATCAGTTTCCTATGACAACATTGGAAGTGCTAAAGCAGAGCCTATCCAGCACTTATCACATTCTGGTAATGCTAACAAGGGACAATCCACCATAAAAATGGAGCAGTTGGCATTCTGCAATGCAATGCAATGCAATGGGGTACAAAACCATCCAGAACAGTTCTGTTTGTCTCTCCCTCTTCCAAAGCTTTATTAAAGTTTACATCACCCTCTATTCAAACCTGAACCAGCCTCAGTGCTCCATCCTTCACCAGAAGATGTTCAGTGTGCAACAAAATACAGAGCTCATCTGACCTATTCCTGCACTCATTCTCCACTCAAATGGTGCTTTCCCCATCCAACCATTATTACATCTGCAGTAATACCCTACGTTGGCCAGAGAGCATCTTAAAGCTGCAAACAATGGACAAAAGCTGCTCTTTTTTATCCTCTGTTGGAGTGGTCTGCCTCAGCCTTATGGCAGAGAATTAGGTAATACTGGTAACTGAAAACCAGCATTGTCAGAGTCCAAACGGAGGGGGAGAGTGGAGGATGCTTTATTTCTTGAAGCGAAAGCAAACCAAGTCAGTCCCTTCAAAACCAGATTAAAAGAAGAGAGCAACAGAAGAAGAGAGAGAAAAGAAGAGAGTCCAACAGTATTCACACATTTTACACCCAGTTCTTTGGAGAATGCTGCATTCCTATTGGCTTTATTTCCAAGAATAAGCTTTGTGTGCACAAGCAGTTTCTTCTCTCCAGAGAGTTCAGACCCTGACGTCACACTGGTGCTGTGCTGTTCCCACCAGAGAGGAGCAGATCTCTGCTGAATGGGGCATTACTACTTCTAATAAAATACACCCAACCTCAGTAAACTGAGATTCCTCCATTTCCATCTCTCCCCTCTCACCCATTCAGGTATTCGTCCCATGGATACAGAAGTTACAGCTCAGGTGACATGCAGCACTGTGCCATTCCTATATTCCCACTGCACGATAACCAACCTCACCTTAATATCCTTAAAGAGAAGGGTGGCTGCATGTTATTATTTGTGACAGTTATCCAGCATCCATTGGCTACTGGATCAAAGTTGCAACCTGCAATGCTCTGCTTGCAGAGACCCCACGTTACTGATCAGCTTTGCAGAAGAAGAACAGAGGAAGTTTTTCAGCCAGAGGTGGTGAGGCACTGGCACAGGTTGCCCAAGGAGGCTGTGGATCCCCATCCCTGGAAGCATTCAAGGCCAGGCTGGATGTGGCTCTGGGCAGCCTGGGCTGCTGGTTGGTGACCCTGCACACAGCAGGGGGTTGAAACCATTCTATGACTCTGTGACTATGATGTAATTGTAGACACTAACATTTACACCATGGTTGTTGCTTAGTTTTTCTAAGGATTTTATAATGTTTCAGCAAATAAGCCATGCAAGACTCAGAAGCCCCATGCAAACACTGTACTCTTGCTCCTGAGATGCACCAAGCATTCCTTACCTCTTCAGGTCAACTGTTGTGACACTGAACACCACTCCCTTCAGCCAAAGGATCATGAAGAGCCTCTGTGAGAAAGGGCAGTTTCCTATGCTTTCCCCGTCGCTGCCAGCCTGTAGGAGAGAGCACAGATCACAGCTGTTAGAAGGCGCCACATACACAGGTACTCAAAGCTCTTCATGTAGAGGCAGACTCAGCAGCAAATCATGGACATTGCTGCCTGCACATCATTCGCTCTGCCACAGAGCAGAGCACACAGCAGGAATGCTCCCAGAGCACTCAAAGGTATCCCTATGCAACACACGAAGACAAGCACCCTCAGAGCACATAACACACTTCACATATTGGGGCTCTGTTATTTCATTTGTGTGTTTTCCTCTTGGATCTTCCCACCACGTTGTTTTGGTAGCAGATATACCTACGACTGCAGTGCAATTCACCCCGAGCAGCCACACATTCAACAGCAGTTTCCCAACATCGTTTGTTGGATTGATTCCTTCGTCTTCCCCCAGGCACAGTAATTAATTACAGCCATCTTCCAGTCCATTGCTCATCTCACTGCATGGCACTGCAGCGAGCCAACTGCAAGCAGCAGCTCCAAACCCTGGCTGTACCAACAGCTGTTACAAGGAAGAACAGAGCTGTGCCCTCTGGAACTTTGCTGCTCATATTCCAAAGACATTTTTTAATAGGAAACTTATCAACAAATGCTGCCACAAGAAAGGTTATTGTATAACAGCAGTGAGCAACCCCAGGGCAGCCAGCCATGGCACACATCCCATCGCTGCCCTGACAGTGCAGTGTGTAGAGCTGAGCTGGAAAATCTGAGTTTTCAGTGAGATGGAAGCAGACACTGGAAACCTTGAGTCCTGTTGTAAAGTCTGAGCCCTGGTTCAGGAGTTGAGGCTGCTGTATATAAAAAAAAAACCTACTGGATTTTGTGGATTATTATCAGAACACTTCCAAGAATGATTTCAATCAACCTGGGCTTTAGACATGTGCTGATTCCTCCTCTGCTGCTGTCATTGGACTGTGCTGTAGGACACACTGACTGCCCTCCTCTGACACAGTGCACCAAACAACGATGTGAAATGCAGGGCAGATGACTGGAAGAGCTGAAAGCCTGGGCACTGACTGGTGGAGATCCATTTAAACAGGAGCAGAATAAGGTTTGGGCACTCACCAAAGGAATTGCTTTTTCTCCAGCTCTCTGCCAGTTCCCAGCCACTGAGAGGGGCCCCAGTGGGGAGAGCACAGACTGTGCAAGTGTCAGAGTGAGCAGCAGCACTTCCAAAGGGCAGGGAAAGAAGAAACCTTTTCATCCAAAGTGTCTCAAAAAGATCCTTTACCTTTAAAAAACTCCAATGCCTTTCAGCAGGGAAGTTGCCACCAGAACAGGAGGATTCAAACCAATTTCTGCCGCCCTCAATTTGTGCTTTGTTGTGGATGATGTACAGCTGTTTTTCTTCAAACTTTTGCCACTTCCACTAATGAACGTTTGAAGAAGGAAAGTTGCTGGGTTTTGTGCTTGCTTTTTGCTTTGCATACATCACAAACTGGTGAGAGAGAGCAGCCAGCCTGGGCACTCAGCTCAACGCACAGCTTTCTGCTGTGCATACAACCACTAAGGATGGGAGCTGCAGCACAACGAGTGCATTCCTGCTTCCACCATCTATATACCTATCTCTATGTATATATATATTACTTCCCAGACTAATTTGCACTGTGAAGCAGAAATGACTCTATGATACAGAACCTATCTCAGCCTTCAATTGTGAGCAAGCACGACGCCAAGCTCAGCCCACAGTTCCACCCTTAAGGACACAGAGCTCTGCTCAGTCATCTTTAATTCAGCACTTCTGACACCGAAGCCAGGCAGCAGAGCTAGCCAATACAACACATGCTGCCGAGGTCTCATCTCACCTGCACCCATGTCTTCTTTATCACCACAGGATTGTATTATTTCCAGGGGAAGATGGAAGGATCACAGATGAAATAAAGCACTCTCCAATGCAAGGAGCGCTGCGGTTCGTTGTGCTACAAACGAAATCTTGGGCCATCTGGAACCCAAAGCAAAATTGCTTTGGGAACAAAAAGCAGTTGGGACTTTACGGCACAGCCCATTTTCCTAAGCCAACCCCAAGGCAATTCCAATGAGGACCAAAAAAAGTCAAACACATTTATGCCATAATACAACAACTTGTACTGAAACTTGTCTTCTCTCCCAGCTTGAGCATAATATTCAAAACAAACAAGCAATCTGACAGCATCTACTTCTGTTTGAGCATTATGGGCTGCTTAGATCGCTTGAATCAGGAAAAAAAAAAGAAAGGATTACAGCCCACCAACCGACAGCAACTTTAACAAAACAGAATGCATTTCCAAAGCTGCAACTGAACAGCTTAACGAAGCACAGACTTTTCTATCTGCATTCAAAGGGTTGTCCCACTTCTGCTCCAAAAAGTCCCAAGTTATTCTGAGCACATACTGGAAAAGGAATGCGGTCAGAACGCCAAGAAACTTCTGGCTTCAATGCTCTTGAGGCAAGGGATTCTGCTTTGTAAGTGCTTGCCCAAGAGGCCCGTTCCTATCTTCCTGCATTGGATGCAGCAGGAGCTGCTGCTCAGACCTCCATGCTGTGTCACTGGGAGCAGCACTGTGCTGCCAAGGCACTGCATTGCTGCTTGGGACACGCATGGACTTCTGCAGGGCGATGGGCTGCTCCATGTCTCTGCAAGAGCCGCTCAAGAGCCATTTTCTCCACTGCAATAGATGGAAGTTCAAGCAAACAGACTAAAAAATATTTAATAATAAAAGATCAGGTCTTGAATTCAGCAATCCGTATCTCAGGTTAACTAAGAAAATACTCTGCTGGGAAGATGACATGAGAAAAGCAGCACGATGCGCGCCCATGGCCCCAAAGAGCAGATAACAATCGCTCCTGCATGCTTCACGAGCAGTGAGCTCATCCGAAAAATAAGCAAATAATCCCATACGGAGCAGTGTTTTAAAAGGAAACTGTTTGTGGGGGAATAACAAAGTGATCCAAGCGAAAAACACACAGCAGCTCAAAGCCCAGGGGTGGAAATGCAGAGAGGAGCGGTCCAGCGTTCCCCACATAGCACAGAGAACAGCCCAGCAGTATCAGCCTCAATCCTTCCAGCTCAGCTCCGGCCTTTATCTCACCAAGCTGGATAAACAGAATTCCGTGCTGCTTGCAGGGCAAGGCTTGCAGATAAGATGTGCAGGAGGAGGGGTGGGTAGGCAGCACCTGGGGCAGAGCAGTGGGACAGCACAAAGGATCCCCATACGAGCTGCACCGAGGAGCACAACCCCTCTCTTCAACCTTTCCATGGGAACCTAAAGCTCGGTAGCACTCCACCAGGTTAGCTGTGCTCATACCTGGAACCATCTGCCAATACAAAAGACTGCGATGATTAATTTGTGGTTTCCACACGATGATCGTCACCCACCCCACCCAGGGGAAGAGCAACCCAAGGCTCTTGGTGAGCTGCGTCATCGGCACTTGGTTTCTCACCAATTCCCACGTCAGCCAACATCCACATCAACCCCCCGAGCATTTAGGAATGAATGAATGAGCCGACGGAGCTCCCTGCGAGGCCCAGAGCTCTGACAGCACACCAAGAACCAAAACGTCTCTCAGCCCATCCAAACAGCTCCTCAATCACCACTGTGTCACACAGCTGACTCGCAGGGCAGCGACCATTTTAGGACGAGGCTGCATTCAGCCTTGTGATGCCACTCCTATCCTAATTATTAGCAGTTTTGTCTTGGGCGGCTTTGTGCAGCTCTTACCGCTACCTGATTTTTAGCACAGAGCTTTTTGGGGGAAAAAAAGCTGTGGGATTTTCAGGATGTATGAAAGTAACTTCGCGATTCAGTAGAAATTCATTAAGTGCTTCATGATCTTGGGAGAAAAGACATTATGCCATGGTCATCCTTCGTGAGAATCAGTTCAAAACGTGCATTAAATACTGTCCATCGCTTTCTTCAGTGGAGAAATCAGCTTGATGGCATGAATACAACAACGTGGGGTTATTCGACACAGCCCACACGTGAGCTTCTCCTCATCTGACGTAGGAAAAATAAGCAAGCTCACCTTTTCCACCCCTTTTCAATACGTTTAACAAAGTGACTCAGCTGTAACAAACCCAGATAAGGACAAACGTGTCCAAATCCACTGAAATTTGCTATGACACATCCCTGCAATATTGAGTAGGAAACTGCCAATTAGGCTGTTGAGTCTTCAGCACTACAGGTTTCTCTATAGAAAATCCATCACCAGGGAGTTCCAACGTGTGAAAGCAGCAACACAGCTGAAAACCAACTGCCAGAAAACCAAACCAGAGAGAAAACATCCATAGCCATGGAAGAGAACTGCCTAGCAATGAAAACATTGCTCAAATTCTCAAAACTCACTGAAGCAGAGCTGCAGTTCTGAACGGTACCCCCTGCTAACAGGGCACTCCAATGCTCCAGCAAGGAGAAAACATCATCTCAGGCCGAAACAGGAGCTGGAATCTGGATTCTGGAGCTGCTAAAGCATGAAGGTTTGCAGGGAGGCTTGCTTGCTGTTGCTTCTGGTCCCAGCACCATCCATGAGTGCACATCCCTCAGCACCAGGATCCCAGATCCCCGTTTGCAGAGCAGAGCTTCCTCCTCCAGGTTGCTGCCTCACCTCATTAGGATCCAGCACAGCGTGTCACACCGGGGCAGCTAAAACATCGTTTGAAGGATTACAGCAACCCACTTGTGCTTTCTTTCACTTTATTTTTAGACAAAACCACGCAAAAAAAAAAATAAATCTATTTCCTTCATTTAAAAATAGCAGCCCTCCAAAGCACAGACCAAAGTCTAGCCAAAATAGTCATTCTTGAACGGAGCCAAAAAGCTCTGAAGGCGATCCAGTAGCGCTGACTGATCTCATTAGCTCTTCCCATGAAAACACACAGATATGACTTCACCCCTGGATTACACTCCTATATTTAGTTTATACCTAATATGGACATTCAGGGCACAGAACGCAGTCATTTCCTCTCCTCGCACAGAGCTCCTTGCCCTTTGTCTGGCCAACAATACGAGGAATCAGGCTGAACTCCTGGAGAACTCGCACACAAAGAAGGCTGTAATTAATAGCAGCTTAGCTTATGCTTTTAACTTCTGCATAAACAAACACTGCATTCTCAGCTCTAAAAATCAGACTGGGTTGGACCTGAGCTGGAAAAAAAAAAAAAGAAATCAAAACAAGCTTCAAGAAATTAACCATTATCTTCTAGAGGAAAAGAACAACATTCCGAGTAAAGAATTTTTACAGCCCTTGACGTCAAGGTCCTGTTCAAGCTCCTATGGAGACAAAGTGGTTCTGTTTGGAGGTGTTTTAACTGTTAAGTGTTGGTGCGGAAGAGTGCAGGCCTGGTGTTGCTGCACTGCACAGAATGGTTCGTGTGAGAGAGACCAAATGCATGCATTGGAGAGAATGGAGCCCCCAGATCTCTTCTCTTCTTATAACATGCACTGCAGTTTGTGCTTGCAACCCCCGGGTGCGAAGTCCACCAGAGCCCTGCTTGCTGTTCAGCTGAAAGTCCAATGAACTCCCTGGCTGGGCTCCCAGAGACAACGCAGCCCTCAGAATCTGCGAGCTGGTGGTGAAAGAGCTGCAGAGCCACGGCTCTGTGCCCACCCAGCCCCTCCACCACACCAGGCTGCGCCCAGTGCAGACAGGAAGGGTTACCACACCTCCACGCAGCCGTTCCTCACCTCTTTACCTCCATCTTCACCTCCCAACAGGCCAGCTCTTTTAAGAGGATTCTCATGCTCAGTTATTTCCAGTCAGTCACAAGCAGCCCCTCTCCCCTCGAGCCCACAGGCATGGAGCTGCATCCCTCACCATGGCACTGGAGCTTCCAGCCCGGCACAGGGCATACCCCAACGGCCACGCAGCAGGGATGCACGCACACAGCAAAGCACTCACTGGACAGGCTGAGATGTTCTCAGGTGCTCAAGTTGTTGCATTAAAACCTCCAAAAGGTGATCTTGTGCATAGGGAAGAGCCTCACCTAACAGGATTATCAAGCAACAGGTCTGCCCCTGACAGGAGCACTGCTGGGAAGCGATGCCGTGCCTCCAGCTTTGCTGCTTCTTCCTACTGATGAGCTGTAATTCAGATAAAGCACACGTTGGTGTGCATCCCCCCCTGCCACGAGCTCAGTGTGAACAGGACTACATCCCACAAAGATCTCACCTGCCAAATGCCCATGTGGTTCACAACTGCTGGCAGTTTGTGAAGGATATTTATTAAATGTGAATTCATAGCTGTTTTCTACAGAGCAAACTATCTGGTTTTCAAAGCAGGTGCCCAATTTCTCAACGACACCCCATAGAAAGGTGCCAGATACCCAAGGTCTAATTAATTGACGAGTACGCACACGCTGCATGGGTGAAGACGGGGTATTCCTTAGCCATCACCTCCATCTACTACATCCCAGTGCCTCCTGACAGCAGACAGACGACCACAGACTTCCTGTTGGTTGGGTTTTCCTTCTCACACACCTACTGTCACCTTGCTATTACCAGCACTGATCCCTCCCTGCCCTCTGGGATGCTGAAGGCCGCGCTGCGGGCAGCTCCCATCCCCACCTCCTTTGTATACAGGCTCCGTCCTGTGGTTTCCACAGATGAGTTGTCCTGTTTGACCAAAGCAATCGGGCACGCTTGTTATTTACAGTGAAGATCCACCTTTGATTTCCTAAATTGCAATTGGAAGTGAGCTGTGTGCGTTATATTCAGATCATAACGCCTGAGTTTGTGGCAATGTGGTCTCTGCTGCTCTGCAATGCCACCAGGGCATATCATCAAGCCTCCCATTAATAATACATGCACACATACGAGGAAACAAAATGAAATCCGACACATCCCTGGGTTCCCCTACCAGCTCTCAGAGGAAAGACTTGAAAAATATCTGCACTTAGTTTTAAAGGGGCAGCAGGCAGCCCCATGGAACAGCTCCTCGTGAGCCCCAGGAACACTTTATTACCTCCATCCCAACACCATAACAGAAAGTGTTTCCTTACCTCAGTCCCCTTCTTATGCACGTCCTCCATCACAGCCTATGAAAACACCACTTACAACAGACAGCCCAAAAGTGCTGCGAGCATCAAGCAGCCCCATACACCCACGACTGAAGGCTCACGGTGTGCCCACCCCACAGGGTTAACAACATGCAACCCCCACACCTTGGGCACGAAGCCAGGCTCCCCCTGCTTCACAATTCTGCTCACCCAGCTTTAACCATCGCCTGCTGCCATCTCCTCTGCTCAGGTCACGCAGTTGCTGCCCTTCTTCAGCTGCAGACATTTGGCACAGATTTCTTCCCTTGGTCACAAAGTCCTTCTGCTGCCCCATTGGAACAGCTGCTGGCTGACAGTGCTGGGACAGAACCGAGAGCCCACATGCTGTGCAATGCAGAGAACTTCAAACAAACCCTTTCTAACTCTTGCTCAGTAACTGCAGGCTCTGCCAGACTGCTCCCAAAACCAGCAGAAAGCTGTGAAACAAACACAGACGCTGTGCTTCCCATTGACAGAAAGAGATTAAACCAAAATCTAGCTCTCCTCAAGGAAGACACTGTGAGCGCCTTTCATTACGCCGCTTGCATTTGCACGGAGGGATGAGCTTGGCAAGACGGACAGCAAACAAAAACCACTGCTGCCATAAGGCTGAACAGCATCAGTGCGGCGTGGGACAGCAGCAACGCCCAGCAACAACTGCCGGGGCGGCTTTGGGGTGGAGGTGTTCTTCCTCTGCAGGATTTTCCAGGGAAACAACCCTTACCTGAAGAGCACGAAGGCCAACAAATCCAAATGCTTCCTAACCTGAACCTTGTCCCGAAGGCAGGCAGCTCACAGCGCTGCAGAAAGGCTTCCTCCAGGGAGATGGCATGGGCCGGTCCTGCTGAGCGCAGCCCTCATACACCCTTGCTGGTAAAGTTTCAGCCAAAGGTGACAGAAACGTTCCCTGCTTTTTCCTTTTCATAGACACCAACAACTCCGCTGGTCCAACACCGAGCAGAATCCAGGCTTTTTTGCTTAAAAAGTGATTTTGCTTTCTTTCCCACACGGAAAACCCCTCTGCAAACTCACAGCCCGAAAAGGGCAGCACCCGACCCGCTGAGGATCCCATCCACCCAGCAGAGCTCCCATTCAGCGGCTCCTCGCTGCAGGTCCCGGCGGTGACACCGAACGCTTCCCGACAACCGGAGGCGCCGCATCGCCGCGTCACGGCACCGTTCGGAAAGTTCAACGCGAGCACCGAGGCGCTTTGTTTCTGGGGCGGCTCTATTCAAAGCAGCCCGGAGCAGAAAGAACGCGGGCACCGTTCATCTCCCGGAACGGAGACGGAACGGAACAGCAGAGCGGCACCGCCGCGCCCCGCAGGACGGGAAGCGTGGCGTTACTTCGGGTTCCGACGGCCGACGGGGCCGATAGGAGCGACGGGGCCGCCCGCCTCGCCCCGCCCATCCCGGCCCTTTGTGCGCGGCCGCCCCGCGCGGCGCCACGGGCGTCACCCGCCGCCGCCCCGCGCTCCCGCGGCGCTCCCGGCGCGCAGCCCAGGACGGGGAACGGCGGCTGGGGGCGGGAGGAGCGCGGCGGGGAGAGCGAGCGAGCGAGCGGGGGGCGGCCAACGGCCGGAGCGCCCCGAGCCGCGCCCGGACCGTACCTTAACGAAGAGCTCGATGACGGGCTCCTTATCGCCCTCCTTCAGCCCATTGACCGGCACGGACAGCGCCATGCTGCAACCGTCGCCGCCTCTCGCCTCGCCCGCTGCCGCCGCCGGGACGGGACCGCCGCCGTTCGCCTCGCCCGCGCCGCGCGACTGCTGCCCGCCCCGCCCCGCGCTACAACGCACAGCGCCCCGGGGCCGGGAATGGGGGCGGAGCCAGAACAGGGGGCGTGACCTGATTGGAGGCGGTCACAGAAAGGAGGCGGAGACAACGGTGTGGGAGCGCGGTTGAACTCGGGGGCGGTTAGCGCCGAAGCGGGCGGGGCTAACGGCGAAGTGGGCGGGGACAAGGCGAAGGTAGGCGTGGCTAACGCGAATGTAGGCGGGGCCGCTGTGTTACGGGCGGGGCTGGTCGACGATGTGGGCGGGGCTAAAGGTCTGGGCGGGGGCAGCGCTCGGGGCGCCTCGGTGGGCGCGGGCGGCTGAGATCATCGCTGGGTTTGGCTGTGTGCGCGCCGCCGGGCGGGGGGAGAGCGAGGGGCGGGGAGGCGAGCTTCAGCCTAGTTTGTGCCGAGCTATTCAGGCCAAGGGCTGAGGAGCCGGGCAGAAAATGCGCAGGAGATTTGGGAGGAGCGGCGGAATGAAATTAAACCGTGCGCCCTTTTCCAGTGTTTTCCTCAAAATAGCGCACATTCCGGCTCCTCGCAGCCCTTCTCCGCCGACGGAAGGTTTTCCTGTTTGTTTTACAGAGTCCAAGGAACCGCTGTGACTCACGGGGTGGGACACGGGGTGGAGGTGTCACCGTAACCAAACAGCGCCCGGCCCTGCCCGGGAACCTCCGCCTGCAATTAATGGCAGAACTGTGCCACAAAGGCCGCCTTCATCAGAGCAGGGCTGGGGGGGGGGGGG